CACACACACACACACACACACACACACACACACACACACACACACACACACTTTCAGCTGGAGATAAAAAAGAATGTAAAACTTGCTGAGTTTGCAGAAGTTTGAGTTTGGAGGCAGCTGATACAAATAAACTACAAAGTGGTTTCATTGCAGCAGCTTTACAGTGCCCCCCCCCCACCCTCTCCATGCAGTGTCCTCTGCACCAGGACAGGGGACCGTCCTCCCTCTGGACCTGATCCAGAACACACAGAGCAGCTGACGGTCAGATCCAGCTGCAGCACAGACCAAAGACGTCCAGCAGAACCCATCAGCTGATTACTGTTTCAGCCCCCCCACCCCCCAGACAAGCTTATGAATTTATAACAAATACACAACTGAAAACACCTCAGCTACATTCTTCATTATTTATTTATTTCACACAGGTCTAAAGCAGCTGAAATATTCCAGTCCTTCATTTTCAGACAGATTCAGTTTGAAGATGGAAATTTGTCTGAAAAAACAAACTTCAGAGAAATTTCCTGAATGTTGCAGAAACAGAAACAAAATGTTGAAAATGAACAAAAAGATGAATCTGATTTGTTTGTTTGAAAGAATAAATAAAAAATGCTTCTAAAAACTAAAAATCTAAAACTGTTCCATCTGTATCTCAGACAGAAGGAAAATAACTAATAAGATTTAATGTCAGGAAATGAGACTGAAATCTGCTTTAGACTAAATGTTTTTAATTCAGGATTCACTTTTTTACACATGTGTTAATTTKGTGAACTGTTACCTTTAGACACAAACACATCTTTTGATTTGTTTATGTTTGCAGAACTTTAAACTGTTAATGCAGAAAATCCTGTTTTAATGAAATAAATGTATAATTTCAGATGTAAAAAAAGAAGCAGCAGTGACATAAAGCTGTGCAAACATGAGCTGACTAWATAACACCTGCTTTGATATTAGACCTTTATTTAAGCTGTAAATAAATCTGTGCAGCTTTAATGTCTCGTTCAGCTGGAGACAAACAGTGGCTGAAAACAGCAACACACTTCTACTCATGCAGACGTCACCTGGGACCAACAACAGGACCATAAAAACTATCAACTCTGCAAACTACAGAGGCASAGCTCCATCTAATGAAGTCATCATGAACACTAAAGACTCACAAGTCTGAACATAAACACCAGGATCTGTAGGAATGAGAGCAGAAAGCAAAGTGTTTTCCTGCCAGCGTCTGTC